TAAATAAAAGCTTTAAAAAAAGAGGAAGTAATTGTTAAGCAAATTAAGAATGTAAGTCATTTGATAAGAAATGGTCAAAAAATATGACTTTTGGAGTTCATTAGACCCAGGCTTATCTCATGTTCCTCTTACTTACCAGCTATGACTTTGAGGCAAGTTACCCACTGTCAGTCTTATTTTTTATGTCTGTGAAATGGGCTGACAATTCCTATTTCAAGAGACTGTCTCAAGTTTTGTTGTTAGTGTCGTTAGTATTAGCGGTTAAGAAAGCAAGCTTTTTTAAAAATAGATTTTATTTATTTTTAGAGAGGGGGGAAGGGGGGAAGGGAGAGAGAGAGAGGGGAAGGGAGGAGAGAGAGAAGGAGAGAAACATCGATGTGTGAGAGAGACATCGATTGGTTGCCTCTTGCACACCCCCATCTGAGGGCCTGGCCTGCAAGGCAGGCGTATGCCCTGACTGGGAGTTGAACCAACGACCTTTCAGTTTGCAGGCCAGCACCTATCCCGCTGAGCCACACCAGCCAGGGCAGAAAGCAAGCTATTTTTAAAGAAATTTATAGAGTATTATATGTTTAATGAGGACAAAAAGTATAAATATTCATAGCTTTTCTTCCTTTCCCACTCTCTTGGGAAGAGTGGGTGTTTGTACTGCCAAACTGGGAGCTGGGGGTTGCGGGGCGGAGGCTGAGCAGGGTAAGCAATGATTAAAGTTGTGAGAGGAAAGAAATCTAGTGGGCAGATGAATTTACAAAATAATGGACTCTCCAGAAAAGAAAAAAAAAAATTAAAAAATGTAAAAGCCTAGAGGGTTGAGAGAGAAGGGTGCTAGAAGCTTTAGAGGGTGAACAGAAAGAGGGAAGGAGGGGTAGTTGCAATGTGATATTCAGGGGAGCCAGGTGGGTCAAGAAAATTTTGGAGGTGTTGTATGGTGAAAGTCTCCAGCTGTCAGCTTTTTGAAAATCTTAATTAGCTATCTCACAGGGAGTCAGGAATAACAGAGCGGGTAAAGGCCTAAATTCTGGACCTGGAGTTCTGGGTTCAGTCCTGTTCTGCAGCGCTGTAGCTGGATAGCTATGTGCAGCTGTTCCACTTCTCAGGCTGAAGTTCGTTGTTGTGAAATGGGCATCCTACCTAGAACCACCGTAGAATTACTCTGAGGATCAGATGGAAGAGCCTCTTGAGAATCTGATGGCTTAGTCTTCAGTGCTTGGTGGATACGTAAGAAGTTGGTAAATGTGAATTCAGTGGTGTTATTTTTAAAAGTACAATAATAATTTCCACTTACTTAATGTTTACTATGGACCAGGCAACTCTTCTGCGGACTTTATGAGGATTAACTCATTTAATTTTCAAGACAGCCCTACAAGATAGGAACTGTTATTATCCCCACTTCACACATGATATAACTGAGGCACAGATGATTCAAGTAACTTGCCCAAAGTCACACAGCAAGTGAGTCGCAGAGCTTGGGTTAGCCTCTAATACTGTAATGCTAGATCCTGCTCTTATCTTCTGTGCCAACCTGAATCTCATTATGAGTGTCTGACCTAAAGACAAACGCTGGGGCCACTTGCCCTATTTTATAGGTGCCTGGTTTATACTCAACAACCTGGCTACTCACATTGTGGTCCACAGGTCGTCCCGGAGCCGAATCTCAAGCCCACCCCAGACTCTTGAAATAGGAACTGCGTTTTAACAAGCTCCCCAGGTGATACACAGTCGTGTTCAAGTCTGAGTAGCAGTGCTTCAGAGTGTGAACCTTTAGGCACATGGATGGTCTCACTCATGTCTCCATCCTTTACAGTGTCTAGCACAGCACCTGCCACCTAAGAGGTTGACACTTGATCCAAAAGTAGATCAAGGCATGTTGAGTACGAAATAAACTGACAAGTCTTGGTTGAATAACAACTGGTTTATCTTCAGCTGAGTAAATGGATGCTCAGTGCCGCCAATCTCCAGCACAGCACCAGGCACAAAAACAGATACCCTGTACATATTTCTTGAATCGAGATGGAAGTGCTGTGTGATAGAGACATCGAGCATACCAGTCTGCCCTGGATGTGCTCCGACACTTAAAAAGGCCAAATAATGCCAAAGCAAGCAGAACAGTGATTACGTTCTTATTCTTAACACAGTTTTAAGACAAGCCCTGCTCAATTGGTTCCCCTGTGAACTCAAGCTGATTCTCTTCCCTCTTGAGCTCTCTATTGTCTTGGCGTTGTTTGCAACTCATTCAGAAGCTAATTAAGTTTCAGGATCAGATTGTCCTGTTACAGAGTGTGGATATGCTGAAGTAGGTTGGTTTTTTTTTTTTTATAACTTAAATTATAAATTATCTGAGTGAAAGGGCAATTATAATTTGCTTCTAAAATTGGCCAAAAGTCAGCTTTCATCAAAATAATTCTCAAAAGACATTAGTCTCTGTAAAACCAGGATATTTCATGAAAGACAACAAAGAGGATTTAAATAGGCCATGGAAAATGTATTGATAATCTGGCCATATTTTAATCCTGTTCTCTAACAGAGTGTGAAATTACTTGTTTACTTCACTTATCTGGGGCTAAAGGTAGCTCATCACTCGTTGACAGAGCCGTATTTTATGATCACCTTTCAGCAGTGAGCTTCTGCTGGGCCAGGGCCAAACAATTTGACTTCATTGGCCTAAGTACTACCTCCAAAGTCAAGGTCAGGGTGGCTGTTACCTCTCAGCAGCCAGAGAACTCATGAACTCCAAAATATCTGGTTAAGGCTTTCATTTGTGTAAGGAGAGGGAGGTGAGCCAGGAGTAATAGTAAAAAGTTGGGAGTCTTATTTTCAGTAGCCCCACATTTCGTTCTTGTACCATGTTCTTCCAGAAGTGAAGTTCATGTTGGTTTCATCGTCAGTCCACAGTACTATCAAGTTGAGCACTATTGGGGATGCAAAAGTATAAGTAGTCCCTGACCTAAAGGATATATATATATTCAGAGGCTAATCACTGTTGTGAAATAGACCATGTTGATACTCTGCCCAGTTCCCCTTTATCAAGTTACTGTTTCATCCCCTATGGCTGTGAGTGTTAGCTGCTCATGGCTCACAGCTGCTACTTCTTGGAGAATTGAATGATTTCTCTCAGCCAATGGAGGGGAGGGACCAAACCTCAGACGTTCTGTTTCCCTAGCATAACTGATTGACATTGGGACTATAGGAGGCTGGAGCCCCTTCCTTCAGGTGGGACCAACCCGTGGTACAGTGCAGGCTCCAGAGTCGCCCTTGGAACCATGCTGAGGCTAGACTCCTGCTGAGATCACCTCCTAACTTCCTTCACTTCCTTTCTATCCTCTGTTCAATTAATCGAGTGCCTCAGAATCTTCTTCTAGAATGCTCAACTTAAAACGTGCAGGAAGCTTTTACTACTTTATAAGCCCTAAGGAGCAAAAGGAGGAAACAGTATTCCGAAAGTGCGGTGAGAGCTGGACCCCTGGAGAGAGAGTTGCCTGACAGGACCTGGGTCATGTCGGGACTTGGCCACAGCTAATGACCAGAGTAGGAGTTGGGAACAAATATGCTGTTCTCTCGCTCCTTGCTTCTCTGGGTCTGCAACCCTTTGGTCAGAGCCAACAAGTGTCTTAGTCCATTCAAGCTGCTATGACAAAATATCACAGACTGAGGGGCTTACAAACAATAAAAACGTATTGCCTACATTTCTGGAGACTGAAAGTTCAAGATCAGAGTGCCAGCATGGTCAGGTGAGGTCCCTCTCTGGGTCACGGACTTCTCATTGTATCCTCACGTGGTAGAAGGGCGTGGGGAGCTCTGTGGGTCTTTTTAATAAGAGCTCTAATCCCATTATGACCTAATCCCCTTCCAAAGGCTCTTCCTCCTAATACCACCATTTTCAAGCGCTAGAATTTCAACATTTGAATTTTGAGGGGACACATATTCAAACCATAGCAACAAGAAACTAGCCAACAAAGAGCTGGCACTTAATAGAGGGGTTATCTTCATTTAATAGGTGATGAGATTCCACCGTAGGGGACTAGTGCCTTGTGAGGTTGAGGAAGCTATTGCTGGTTTTCCTACGGAATCTACAAGGAAACAGAATTTTTCCATGAGAAGGATATTGAATTTCGCTCCTGAGAGAAGCTTTTAATGTCCATACAGGTTCAGTCTTCCTCAGAGAAGGAGGAAAGTGCTGGCGGTCGCTGGGGGATCCGTGTAGCCCCAGACCTCCTGAGGCCAAAGTGTTGTTGCAAGGTTATCACGTGGAGCTGGGGAGGGGCCCTGCAGTGCTTCTTTGTGGCTGCTCTTGCCATGAGCCCAGAATCAGAGGCTCTGTGCTTTTTTTTTTTTCACACAGTCACCCTCTTGCTTTCCCTCTGTTGATTCTGAATCCTGATATTGCAGGTAGGCGCTGGGAAGGGAAAGGTGAGGATGGACTTGGGCACTTGGGGCAGGAAACCAGATTCTGGGCTTCTCCCTGGGAGCTGACTTGCTGATGGCATCTTGAGAAGGTGGACCAGAGTTCGGGGTTGGGGGGAGTGTGGACTGTTTCTTCAGCCAGGGCAACATACATCTCTGCGGCATCACATGGAAGAAAAGAAGAGCCTTAAAATCGTGAAAAGCGTTTAAATTGATTAACCAACAAGCCTGTAAAATTTCACACAGTCTATGCCTTAATATAGAACTGGATTATACTTTGCAGTTTATTGCACTAATTCATTAATTTTATTTCACAGACTAAAAATTTTACTATGCAGATGTATGCAAATCACATAGGAAAAAGGTGTTCTTAGTCAAGTGCACCAACACCTGTTGAGATTTTTTTTGTTGTTTTTTTTTTTAATTGGCTGACTTCACTGGAACTGTGCCACTGGGGTAGGACGTGAGATAGTAACTACAGTCAATATTTGAAACGGGGTGTTGAACAAGTTGCTAAATGGTGATTGAGAGGCTTTATCCTTTGACAAATACTGCAGTGACTGGCATGTCTCTTTTCCTTCTTTTCTTGCCTCAAACAGAATGAAGAAGATGAGCAACATTTACGAGTCGGCTGCCAACACGCTGGGGATCTTTAACAGCCCCTGCCTGACCAAAGTGGAGCTGCGTGTGGCCTGCAAAGGCATTTCTGACCGCGATGCCCTTTCCAAACCAGACCCCTGCGTCATCCTCAAGATGCAGTCCCACGGGCAGTGGTTCGAGGTAGGCATGCCCACGCCAGGGGACAGAGGCGTGGCCGGTGGATCAGTTCAAAAATCTATGACGTTTTTCGTCCTTCGGTTGTTTATTTTGATAAGACGAAAAAGCCTAGAAATAAATACGATCACCATTCTGCTTGAATCATGAGGTTTTGATGTGGCTCTTTTAGTGCTGTGTGTCTTTTGACATTTACCCTTAGTCTGTGTGGTCACTGGGGACAGAGTGGCCCTTGAGGACGGGCAGAGAGGACTGCCTTTCAGGGACCACATTACATACACAACATTTATTTTTTGGAGGGAGAACTTAATATTAGCTAAACTTTAGTGGGTACTTACCAAGTGTCAGGCACTGTTCTAAGTGCTTTACGTAAAAATAACTAAGTCCTCACAACAATCCCCTGAGGAAACAGAGACAGATTGGTTAAGGATACGTCGAAGGCCATTTAGCTTGTAAGTGGAAAATCTAATGTTTGCACCCGGGTGGTGGAGGTCCAGAGCTCCGGGCTCTTAATTGCTATTTTGTCATAGTGGTGGGCACCTGTGTAGTCTTTGGTGGCTTGTGTGGTAATGTTGCAGGTTGAATTCTGCACTTGGGTTTTGTTTCTTTAAAAGTTGCAACAAATTGGGTGAGCACTGGATTTTAAGTTTTTAGTTGTTTCTCTTTTGCTTCCAGGTACCTAATCTAAATAAGCTAGGCTTTTGAAGATCAGATCTGAAATTAACGGGGCGATAGGGAGACTCAGGTGGTGCAGCAGAGTAAGCAGCTATACGCTCTGGAAGGGAACGAGAGAGTCAGTGGAACTTGGGTATAGGTGCTGAGTCAAGAAAGAGGAGACAATTACCTGCTTTGGATCCCTGAGGACAAACTCTTTGAATCTTTATTACTTTTCCTACCTGTTTGCAAGTAGTTGGAAGGTGCTCCTCTAGGGGGCAAAGTCATCCACTTCAGAATAAAAAGGAGGCTCAAAAGAGCCTAGAGAAAGCACGTTCGCCTGTTAGTACCTGTGTGGTCAAAGCCGCTTCTCTGAAAGGAGGTGTGACGGAGGCTGGTGACAGATGTCCCCGGGTGAGGAGGCGCCATGCGTGGGGGAGTGGATGGCAGATGGGCAGGTTCGGGGATCTTAATTTAACTTATCCAGATCTTACATTATCAACTAAAACAGCCCTCACAGGTATCTTGATGTGTAATGTTTTTTTTTTCCTTCTAAATATCCTTATTGACTTTGTTAGTGGGTTATTTTTAAAATTAACAAACTAAGTGGAATTTTCATGTCAGAAAAAAGTCACTCTTTGAAAATTAGAGAAAAAAATAATCTCCTAAAACCCTCTTTATGTAATTCTGTGATGATTTGTAAATATTTCTTTTCAGTCTTATGGGGTATGTAAAATTTTCTTTCCTGATTGTGTTACCTAGTAGTATGTGTTTTTCCCTTAGTGCTGTACTACTCATAGTTATAATTTTTAAGGCTGTATAATATCCCATCAAATGGGTTTAATTAATCATTTTTCTATTTTTTCACTTTGAAGTGTTTCCAAAAATACTCTTACTTTAAATAATGCGGCAATAAACATCATTGTATATGAGGATTTCCCTTCTTTTTCGTCGAATTTATTGGGGTGACATTGGTTAATGAAATTTTGTAGGTTTCAGGTGTACAATTATATAATACATCATTTGTATATTTATCGTGTCAAGTCTCCTTCCATCACCATTTATCCCCCCTTTACCCTGTCCTGCCTCCCACCCCCTTTACTGTTGTCTATCTATAAGGTGGGTTTTTTAAAAAATTTGCTTAATCACCATTTTTACCGAGCCCCCACAGCCCCCTCCCCTCTGACAGCTGTCAGCCTGTTCTCTATGAATCTGCTTTTATTTTGTTTGTTAGTTTATTTTGATTATTAGATTCCACATATAAATGAAATCATATCATGTTTGTCTTTCTCTCACTGGCTTATTTCACTTAGCATAATACTCTCCAGGTCCATCCATGCTGTCTCAAAGGTAAGATTTCCTTCTGTTTCATGGCCGGGTAATATTAAATTGTGTCAATGTACCATGGCTTTTTTATTCACCCATTTACTGACGGGCCCTTGGGCTGTTTCCGTATCTTAGCAATTGTAAATAATGCCGCAGTGAACATAGGGGTGCGTATTCTTTCCAATTAGTGTTTCAGGTTTCTTAGATATGTTACCTGAAGTGGCATACATCTGGTAAGGGGTTAATATCCAAAATTTATAAAGAACTTATAAAACTGGACAGCAGAAAACCCCAAACAATTCAATTTAAAAATGGGCAACAGACCTGAATAGACACTTCTCCAAAGAGGACATACAGATGGCCCATAGACGTATGAAAAGATGTTCAATGTCACTAATCATCTGAGGAATGCAAATTAAAACCACAATGAAATACCACCTCACACCTGTCAGGCTTTTCCCTTCTTTTGAGACGAGTTCCTAGGAGAGAGTCTGTCAAAGTGGAGCTAGTGAGACAAAGGATAGGACACTTGTGGGCCTTTTGATACCTGTTACCAAATTGCTTTTCTAAAATGCTCTATTACAGTGTCACTCAAAATGTGGACTGCACACAGCTACCAGTCCACACACTCTTTGTTACCAATGCGCAGTGAGATAAGAAACATGTACCACAATGTGTATTGATTCATTGCTTCCTTCATGTAGAAAGTCTTCACTCTTTAAAAATAGTCTTGTCAGCTGAACTCCCAACGTGCTTAGTGATATGGCTGATTTTTATTCTGGCACTTGGAGAAGCTCTTCTCTGATAAATTTTACACTCATAATAATATACTTTCAGGATACAGTGGAGAAGACTGAGCCCATGCCAGTTAGCTAATAGGGTTTAATTCAGGTAACTAACTAGTAACAAAGGAGTCAGAAATGCGGAGAAACTAAGAGGGACTGTGAGGGAACCCAGAGATTAAGAACAGGAACCTGCCTCTTTGCAGAGGGTGAGCAGCAGTGTGTGGAAACCAGCTCGTATAGGCTTGTGAGTGTTGGGCTAGGAACTACATATTCAGGGATTTTGCAAGTCTGAATGCAAGTATCTACACCACAGACATTGGCAAATTTTAAAAAAACATTTCAAATCAGGGCTTCTTTTCACCTCCCCTCCTCCCTTTTCCAGAGCTACTTATTGAACATTTACCAGCACACCACTGGGTAAGAGAGACAAAGGACAAGCAAACAGCCGGGCCATCTAGCATAAGCTGGATCCGTGGACAGAGAGCCTCCCCAGTGGGAACCGGAAAGGTAGAGGAGATGCAGGTGGTGCTGGGAATGCTGCCTGAGGGGGAGGTGAGGACACCTGCATTCCCCTCTGTTGTTCTCTCAAGGTGTTTTCCATGAACCACACCTTCACGGAAGCCAGCTGGCAAGGTTTGCAGGCATAGAATGTATAGGAGAGCAAAGAGGTAAATGACAAGCACACACACCTCCTGACAACTCACAGGAACTTGGAGAATCATTTACCCCATCTCATCATTAGTACTAACACCTACTTTTCAGTACAAATTCAGCCAGTGGTTCTATGCTACAAATTAGAAGCTCACCTATGCTAGAAGTTAGAAGCACTTGCCCATCTATTTAAACCATGTAGCTACTACTACCTATGTTTAGTGAAGGCTAACAAACATGGACAGTGCTCCAGGACAAGACTTATTGACATGTGAGTACTCCTGTATGTAGCCCGTGGAATAGGTCTGGATATGCCGAGAGTTCTGTGTACAGGACTACGGAACTGAGAGAAAGCCTTGCAGAAGAGAAGCCGTGCTGGCTGTGACGGTTCCTTGGGTAGCTCAGTTATGGGGAGTCTGGTAATTGACTAAGTGAAGGAAAAAACAGAGGCCAAACTAATTTGCATAATGAAGAGATTGTTGGGGGAGTATCAGGGTGAGAGAATAAAAGGCGAGGTGAGCTCACTTTTCATAGAGAATGTTTTTGAAAGACTTTATTATTTTTAGAGAGAGGGCAAGGGAGGGAGAAAGAGGGTGAGAAACATTGATCAGTTGCCTTTCATGTGCCTCCAACTAGGGACCTGGCCTGCACCCCAGGCATGTGCCCTGACTGGGAATCCAGCCAGTGACCTTTCGGTTTGCAGGCAGGCGCTCAATCCACGGAGCCACACCAGCCAGGGGTACAGAGAATTTTAAAGTTTGGAAAAAGAGGCTCTCTGTAGTTAGTTCTGTCCCTGAAATGTTGGAAATGTTCTCTTATCTGTGCTGTCCAATAAGGTAGTCCCTAGCCCCATGTGAGTGCTTGAAAGGTGGATTGTGTGGCTGAAAAAAATGGCATTTTTAATTGTTTAGTTTTAATTAATTTAAGAGTAAGTGCAAATAGCTAACACAGTTCCCGAGTATCTTTGGTGTGCTAGAGAATTTGGGTGGGTTAGGGAGAAGAGGAATGCGAGTTTGTGAAAATGTAGCTGCGGACCGTTAATGTTACAGCTTAAGTGTTTTTCTGGGGAGCTGTAACTAAAGGTTGACATTTCCTTTTTATTACTTGTGATTGCTGGCCTGTGCTTTTTGCAATGAAATTCCAGCAGGGAAAGGTCCCGTTATGCCCAGGTTTACAGCTCAGGTTACTACGGCAGTTGTTAGAACTACCTTCAGATGGTCTTCCCATATGGAGGGGAACTGTTTGCTCTTTTAATTGGCTGTCTCTTGTTAGCAATAAAAGAGAACAGTTGATCTCTGAGATGGATCATAAAAATGAAAGCCCGGTTTTTAGACTCAAAAAAGACCCACAATCTGACCTTCTATGCTGTTAATAGTATTAAGAGTCAATGAAGATAAATTTATGTCTTTGAAATATTGGAAATCAATTGATCTGAAATGCACAGTGGATTGTTCCTCTTTATAGACCAGCAGGGTTTGGGAGATACATGCCTGAGGACTGAGAAGACAGAGAAGATGGTTTTGTTTTTTTCCAGAATAGGGAGATGAGATGGTGCTTTTATTGGGTGAAACTTTTGGTAAATCTTTAAGG